AAAAACTACTAGAGAAGGAAGCAAAGTACGAGAATGGGACGCAGGGAAACCACAGTACTAACTATGGTGAAATACTACTTGCTCAGAGGGAGAGAAGTCTGGCAGCTGCAGCTGGGGCAGCACGGAGTTGGTGGGGGCGAAGACTCAGTAGAGTGTCAGACACCCTTGATACTCAAGAAACATCACGACAGCATAAGGTTAATAACAGTAACTGTACAGTATGGGAAGTGGCAAGGTCATGATAATCATAACGGTGCATTTACTTTGAAGGAGCTTACATATAATTAAAAATGGTGCTCATGCTATACTTTGTAACTAATTTAACCACACTAAAAAAATGGGAACCTGTGGATCATATTCAACATCTCCCTCAGATATAGGAACAGTTTTCAACAAATCCCATCATTATAAAGTATAAAGCAAGTTGGTTTCAAGTTCAAACTGGCAGAAGCGAATGCACTCAGCAAAAAAGTACATTTCATTTGCCACAAGAAGCGAAACAAAATTCATGTTTCTATGGCAACCAATTAATAGTTTTATTCAATTAGCTACAGACAATACCCTGACTGAGCATAAAACCAATTCCTCTCCACCTCTCTTACTGTAAATTTCTGGCAATTCTGTGGCAATGATAATATAACCCAAAGTTTTAATAATACATCTCTGCAGTAGGAGACAGTATAGAAGAGAAAATATCATAAATTAAAATGTTGGTCCCCAAACTTTGATTTGCCAATCCCTTTATACAAAAAAGTAATTGTGGACTTTAATGTAAATTATTACTTTAAGTCACATTCAAAAAGAATAAACAATATTATAGGTGACAGTGTTCAATGGTTTCAAAGTAATGCTGCTTTTACAGCTTGTTCCACTGACAGAGTTACCGCAGCTTCAATTCCTTTCAGAAGGAAAATGTTCTGTGAGAGGCACTGTCAAGGTTTATCTGCACAGAGAAGGCCAAGTCCAGTTGGCGTCTGGAAAAAGATAAAGGGGCATACAAGAGTGAAAAGTACAGAGGACCTGTGATATCCATTTACTTCTCAATCTGCCATTTCTTATATCCATCAATGACTGTTTTACCACCATTACTTCCATATCTGTTGTTGATTATTTCTTGTGTCCACCATCATGTCACCACCTGTATCACGTCATGTATGTTACTATCAATCATCAGCTTCAGTCTACCAGAACACACCTAGTGAGAGGTTCTCAAATGAGATCTCTGCTAATTTTGTGTCTTATTTACTTTATTTCTGCAACAAAACTCACAGCCCATGTCTGAAAAGTGAAGTAAGGAAGTTAAGAAGCCAAGAGTATTCCACACTTTGGAAACAAAATTGAAAATTATTACTGATTCTGAAGATGGTAAATGAGCAGTCATGTTGGATGTGAACACAGAATACAACTTAAAACAATAAGATCAACTGTAGCTGATAAAATATAAAGAAGCTACAAAATTAACAGTAATTAAATGTCTAAGAACCAGAAAAAAATTTGTTCCTGAAAATGGAGAAGTTAGTGTTTATTTGGATATCCAATCAGTAAGCTAAGGACAATAATGTGAATTCTACTTTGACAAGGCAGAAGGCTAAGAGATTTTTTATCAGTCATAAGGCCAGACTTTAATGGTGTTTATTTGCCACAAAATGTAATTTAGAACTCAAGTTTACAACTTGTTAGGAACAAACTATCATTATAAGATGCAAGTATCGATATCCACTGTTTCCCTATTGGTCACGCTTTTAAGGGACCAATTAACAACAGACATCAAGTGGTCCTAGACCCCACATTTCATGGAAGAAGTTCATGAGGTAACAAAGTTCAGAAATCAGACCTAAGGTTTAATTCCCAGTAACTCTTGCAGTAATCTGGAGTTAGTGTGGGTTATAAACAATGTCTTCATGTGCAGACCACTATCTGCGATTACTGAGTGAATAAGCACATTAGATGCAATTATAATTCTCTAATACTTGAGGAAATTTTGTCATCAGAGTCATTCAATCATCAACCACACATGAGATGGAAACATAAACTCAGATGTAACAGCAAATATATTCGTCAAAAAATACAGTAAAAGACAAGATTATTTTGGTCATCTTCCTGTAAAGTTAATCCACTATATTAAGAACTGAGGCCAGTTGTTACTGTTCTGTAATAACCTCTGCCATACAGAAGTAGTACTGATAAAGGAACCCAGTCTATTAAAACCCTTAATTCGGCTCTAGTTTAGCAATGTAGCGGTGGTTTCTGCCTTCCTAGCCAAAAAATTAGGCATTGATATGCCACTTTTTCTTTTTAATACACAATTATATTTTCCACTTTCTTTGCTAATAATTAAGTTCTTGCAAAAGAAACTACCCTTAACATCAGTAACTAAGGTCACTGTTACCTGACCCCTTAACACTCCACAAATTCCAATAAATTTGATGTGGATCAGAATCCACAGATCTTCGAACCATTTAATTTAGAAGAAAAATTACAACCTGGATACCCACAATGTAATATTTGAGGTCAAAACATGCCATAATAATGGGCCAAATTTATAATAACATATCATCATAACTAGAATATTTATGTATTTTATTGGGGCTATGAAAAACGTTTAAATTCCTTAAAAATGTCTTGTCCAGGTGCTATATGATCAATATTTATATCTATCTCCAATATAAATTCACCTTTTTTAAAAAACATGCCTCAATTAACACATAATGAATTTCAAGTGATCAATGCAGGGATGATTAAAGAAATTCCAAATTATACACTGGATTACAAAGTAATATTCTCATTCACAATTTTTTTAAGAATATAATCAAAATTTGACTAAACAGTTCAATATTGTTATTAACTAATAAATGAAGCAAAGTACAGTACCAGCTTCCTTAGCAGCCAGCCCCAAACCCAGAACTTTCACAAATAAAAATGCAACTTCATCTGGTATCATTTTTCTTTACAATACAATGGTTACATGTACTTCTCACTGTCATCTCTACGATTCTTTACTTTGTGTGGCATATGATCACAGGTCTCCCAAACAAGAAAATAAAAAATTAAAACAGCAACTAAACTGTGTCGTATTTAGCATTGTGTGGTCCAGTGATCTTGTGTATTACGGACTGACTGCCCATTCCCAGCAAATAGTGGACCACAGATGTTTAGGCTTCTCAGGAACATTTATAGCAAAAATATGCAACATAAATGTTTGAAATAAACAGTCTTAATTTTTGGAGTGTGGTCTTCTGGGTTATGACACCATCACTACTGCGAAACCCTCAAGTCTCATACAGTTTGAACAAATATTCTGCTCAATTCTGGCAGCATAGTTCATTCAGTAACACACAACAAATCAAACAAAAGCTGCCTGATATTCCAACTTATTACAGCTCAAGTGCTCTTACCATTTTTAATTTAAGGATGCCTATGTTACTGCCGACACTAGACACACAAATGTTTTGTACAAAATTTGTCATTCTTTTCACTCTGTCATAGTCCTTTTATAAAGTTAATAGGAATTTTTACTCACTGAATTCTAATTCCTTCACAGTGAAAATGATTTTTGTATTTTGTCTGGTTATGTTAATTATAAGAACTTGTCAAGAACATTCAGTGTCACAAATCTAAATAATAATTCCTGGAAATAAATCTAACTAAACATTTCTCACGTTCAGTTTCTGTGAAAAACAGTCTTCACCTGAACAATATATGTTAATCTATTACTGTGAAAGCAGAAAACGCAGTGATCAGTGGTAATCACCAAACTCTTAACAAGTGGACAGAAGAGATATACCATGCCTGTATTTTGTTAATATTACAAGGTGCATGATCCTGTTTGTTTTATGTAAAATGTGTCAATGTTCACCTCACCCTGTACATAAATGCCATGCAGTAATGGGTTATATGCAATGCGGACCAAATGCAGTTCAGATAGAGGCAAAGGAAGATGAAACTGTTATACATTTTGTTCAAATATCAAAACTTCAAGACATGTATCACAGCACAATCAAGTTAAACAACTGTAACGCCATCTTACTTTAAACACAGGAAATCACATGTTCATCTGGGATAGCAGTTTAGTTTTTCTTTGTGAAAAATGAGCAAGAAGCAGTTCATACAGATGACCCAGGGGCAAATTCACATGATGTCAGCAACACAAACCATTCGGCAGCCTTTATTCACAAGGACGGTATAAATATTTACTGAGTATTGAAACCAAAATTGTAATTTACAACTTCAGTTTTGCATAGTGATGAAAAGACTGACAGTAATAATTCTGATTCATGATCATTTGAATAAATAAATGTAAGAATTCCATTTCTATATTATCAGAAAAATAAATATGTGATGCACTGAAAAAGTTGACACAGTATGTGGTGATAAAAATCGTGCATTAGCTTATCATCATCATTCACAAAAAACTGATTTAATTAATAATAATAATGTACACCAATTGTAAATTGTGAATATTGATGAGTTAGGAATAACAGGGAAATAATTTTAATTGAATAACAAACTGCAATTTGGAAAGAATGTGACAAGTAGCCACGGACAATTTTAAGATACTGTCACAGAATTTGCATTAACAGACTCAGAAAGACAAAGAAAGTCTTCTGCCACCTCGATGAACTACATTAATTATGGTTAAGTTGCTATTCAACAGTGTACCTATATGTCAATAATTAAGTCACATATATTTTATATAATTAAAAAATAATTTGGTGATTACCAATTTTCACTGATAATTTTCAATGTTGCCTATGTATCAATAAAACAGGAGAAGAAATGAGCATTATAGTACATACAAACATACGAGTAAATGGTTTTAATGTCAAAGTCTGTACAAGCTGTTCAATATAAAAACAGACTAGTCACGTGATACAATAGAAAAAATTTTATAACACATTACTCACTAGAACAGCCTTTTTTACACTTTTTTCTCATACCATAACCAAATTAAAATGTACTGCATTTCTAGATTATTTAATGACACTCTCACAACTCCAGAAGTTAAGCCATGTTGCACGAGATGATGACTGAATGTGGTGAATTAGAGAGCATTGTGGGAAGACAAAGTTTTAGCCACATTCAAGATATTAGATATTTTCTCATTCACCTAAAATGAATGAGAAAAGCTATGGCAGGTAAGGATAGAATATCCAGTGCCTCAGTCAAGTTTTATACCAGGTAAATCCTGAATACAAACGTGTTTGGTCCACCATCAAGTTTCTTTTGCAACACCAAATTAACTCACACATGACCACATAATGGGGCTAATATTATAAAAAAAAACAATTTACAGAAAACTTTTGAGAAACAGCTGATAAATCCCACTTCAAAGGTCATGAAGATGTGTTTACTTTGGTTATGGCATGGTAATTTAGCATTTTTTAAAAAATTATTGGTGTTTATATTGCCTCTTTCTTCTCCTAATGTCTTGTTACTAATCTCTCTTTACATGACTTTGGTGTGTATATATGTTCATATCCATGGTATTTATAACAAAGATATTTTCATACCTAAACCAAATAATGTGCATTGATTATTTCTATTCACAAATCAGACTATAATGTATAATAAAATAAATATTCAATTTACTTATACAGCTGACCATGTCTTTAACAAACAAGAATGGAAAAGGTATACACTAAAATTCCAAGGGTGTTCTTTATGCCACATCAGAGGCAATTTTATCAGCAGGACATCTGACAGTGCTATCAGAGGCATCTGTAGTATCCTAGGTCACTGTTGCAGCAATGTGAACCAATGATGGACAAATCAGCTTTCATACAAGAAACAACGTAATTTAACTCTTAAGTAAATAATAGTGTTCCTCAACAAGAAGTTAAAATTCCTGGGGCCTGCTTACACAGTGGCCAGTATAGTGGTTGCAAGTATTTAAAAGGTTAAGACATCTATAGGGCGGCACATGACACTGCTAGGGATAGGGAACAAGAAGTTATTTTTATATTGCATTTCCATTACCTGAAAGGTAATAAAATTCAAGAACAATTTTGAAATTATTACCATCAGAAAATGGCTCTACTGATAGCTTTCTGAATGCTCTATAAATCCAGTATGAAATTCTTAACCTGACAAAACTCTAAATAAAGGTCTATATTAACCACTTTACTCCTCTTCCCAGAATATGGTAGCAAGTTCCTAAATTCTAATTAATTTATCAACCTCTGTTATAAACAGAATCTGCTCTTGATTATTTATAATACGTGTTTCTATTAATGGTTTAACAGCACTGTCAAAATATCAAATTATATGGTATTGAAAAATGGTATAATTTATGAATAATAAATTTGAAATAATATAGTAGGTAGCAGATGTGGCTTAATTTAAGGTATAATACTGGCAAGTACCTGGAATAAATATGGAAAACTGCAGAAAACCTGTCAGGAGAGCCAGCGTCTGGGCCAAGATTTGAAGTGGGTGAAATCCCAAATATGCAAGCCCATTCAACTGCATTGTTTCAAGCATAATCAAAAACACCGGTACACACTCTACCATTCGAGCTCATATCCCTCCCCTATCCTTTCATTTCTACCAGCTTGTTTTTGGCATCTTTCACATGTTAAAATTTGTTCTTAACGGATACTGAAATTTAAGAGTGGTACATAAAATTTATAGTAATTAAACCCAAAGAATATACATAACAAAAATTATTTATAACCTTCCACATCCTCTGCCAACACACACTGCAAACTGAACTGACACCATAGCATTGAAACACATACTTCGGACTGTGGGAGCATGTTTTGTTTGTTTGTTCTTATCACCATAATATCCATCTGCTGCTTCGCATCTTAAGCGTGAAATAAAATATTACAATAAGAATTCCCAGTGCTCAAAAGTAACTTCAGCCAAATAATTTTTTATTCACACCAACTTCTCTATACCAGATTTCCATATGATGAGACATGAATGTTAAATATAAATTCTGAGCCTTTAAGAACTTTCAGAGGTAACGATCACTGTTACTCTGCAGCTTCAGACTTTGAAAGTTAATGTGTAGTATCAATGTTACATACGTTCCATTGTTTGAAGGTCTCTTATATGTGATCTAATCTGTCACAGTCAGAAGTATGTGTCATAAACTGATCATTACTTATAACGGAGATCACTTCTCTTTGCATCCCTTTCCATCTTACCCCTCATCTTTCCATACCATTAAACTTCCAAAATGCAAATGACCGATTTTCGAAAAATATTAAAGGAAATTATTTATTACGATTTGAAAATCATTTATATTTAGAATGTGTATGTACGAACCTTACCTCGAAAATGAAATCCTAACCTTCCACAGCAAAGAAAAGTAAGCACTCGACGGTCACAGCGCACTTATTGCCTTGTTTTCAAGTTCAATGATCTGAGAAAACTATTCAAACTAATGATAAATAACCTCTCTTTACGCCACGACATATAATATCGCATTCTCGCCAACATGCGAACAATGAATGTCGTTGAAAAAAGAATTGCTTCACAATCGTTAAAGAGCGAATAAACTATAAGACATATCCGTGTTGTCTACAGCAATTTAATCTATACCACTTCTACTAAATTATGCCTACAAGCCATTTAACTTTTGTAAAACATGGTCTCTTACGTATAAAGTGAAGCTTTGGCGGCGACTGAAATTGATAAAAGACTCTCGGTTTACGAGCCGCGTCAGGCGGCTCAGTGGTGAATAAACCGTATCTTCTGACAACGTTTCGAGAGCAATCTCTGCTCTCATCCTCAAGGCTGCTCGCTAATTGAAACAGTTCCCATCGGCAAGCTACAAAGGGTCAGATTTGTTACGCATCAGCCCTGAGGATGAGCACAGATTACCATCGAAACGTTGGTATTAGATATGGTTCATTCACCAATCAGCCACCTGACGCGGCTCGTAACCCGAGAGTCTTTCTTCATGGTCTCTTACCTTGAAGGAATAAGGTTGATTACGAGCGGTTGAAAACAAGGTGCTCAGGGA